TTTGTACATGTGCTCCCAAATACTGGAGAGTGAAGAGGAAGAGGCTGAGAACTAACTCTGTTCCTCCAGTTATTCCAACTCCTTGAAAAGAAAAAGCTAATTTCTGGTAGGACTGGCTGGAAAACAAGGATTCTCACTCTCAAACAAATCTGTTAATTGGCAGGGAAGGATTTCAGGCTAACCAGTGTTTGTACATGTGCTCCCAAATACTGGAGAGTGAAGAGGAAGAGGCTGAGAACTAACTCTGTTCCTCCAGTTATTCCAACTCCTTGAAAAGAAAAAAAAAACCCACCTAGTTACTTTAAATTACCCCAATGCATCAGATAAATTAGGGATCCATTTGCTTTTTTCGAAGAAGCAGCAATCCTGGAGAGCCATGGAATAGATGTACAGAGTCCGGGAGGCCATTCCAACAGCGACGACGTGGATGGCAATGACTACTCAGAGCAGGTGAGAACCAGGGCTGAGCCACGGGGCCCAAAAAGGGAGATTCACTCACCCCTCAGGAGGCCCTTGACCTCTCGAAAGTAATCTCTTGTTTTTAATTTGGTTTTATGTCATTTTAATGGGGAGAGGGTGAGCGTTCAGCATTCACCCCCGTGGGTTTGTTGCCTCCCCGCAGGACGCTTGGCAAGTACGCAACGGGGAGGAGGAGGGAAGATGTTCAGAGGGAGGCAGAGAAGCAGAGAAGGTAGAAGAAGACAGGAGGATCTGCTCCAAACAAGCAAGTTACACCCCTCACACCACAGGCAGTGTATGATACACGTGGGGAGAGTGTCAGCTCACCCAGTGCCCACCACACCTTGTGCCCTCCTTGGCTCTGTTATAGTTACCCTCCCTCAGGAGAGGATGTTACAGGTCTTTAAACAGTTGCTCCTGTAGATCAGGCACCAACAAGCTTCCCTGAAAACTGGGGATCTCTTGCACCTATTCTTTATTTCTGCAAGAAATGCCCTGTTCTGACCCGGGCTACAGCTGCTGTGAGCGGCTGATCTGACCCCAGACACTGTGCCCAGGACACTTTACATTCCCTGTGTCAGCCTTCCCCAGCAAGAAAATGAGCACTGAGCACCCTCCTGGAAGGTCCTGAGCTCCCTCTGCTTGTTTTGTGGGGGAACCTTTCAGGAGCATCTCAGGATCCATCCCTAAGACACTGACAGACAAAGGGTGAAGGGTGGGGGGAAAGGATTTGATTAAGCTTGACCTTTATTTGGCCTATTCCCTATTGTTCTGCAGCAATGTGCCACTATTTGGATTGTTTACATATTACCTGTCTTCTTTTTTTTGTTCGTTTTTGCATTTTAATTCTTGCCTATTCTCTCTTTTCTTGGTTATTTTTAACCCTTGACAGCAACTTCTTTTTTAAATTCTCTAGCAAAAGAATACCCCCTCCCGCACTCTGAGCCCTCACCTACCCTAAAGTTGGTGACCCTTCCTTCACACACCTTCCTGACAGGTATTGCACCCCCTTCCCAATTTTCCTCCAGTGTTGGCCAAACCCCCCCAGGGCTGTGTGTGTGCTTGCCAGCAGTGGATTCCACCAGTTTTCTCTTAGTTTTGAAATGAAATGATTCTGTGCTGCCCCAGCATCTGGGGTGGGCACATCACTTCCCATTGACTCTTTTGGGGGAGAATTAAGTAGCTCTCCCTCTCCAAAAGCTGCTGGTGGAGTGTAATTGCTGCTGAGTGTCCTGGAATGAGTCCCTCACACACTTGGCTGTGGCCCAGTACAAGGAATATCTGGCACAGGCATCCCCAGCTGCTCTGCTGCTGATGGGTATTCAGGCCCTTTTTATAGGTCATCACCAGCAGATTTGGTGGAACCAACTTTTCTGGCTCTGGATGAGGAGAAGCTGCTCTGGGACTGTCATGAAATATTTAGAAAGTGCTCTGAGCACAGATAATTCCCTGTCAGTCAGAAACAGGACTGGAATGCTGAGGTGAAACGTGGTGTAAACTCCCCAGCTGTGTTTTTCTTCTGTGCATTAACCAAAATACTTTGAAAAGAGTGATAAATTGGTTATTAAAATTTAAAGATCTTTGTTTAGAGGCCTTAAAAGTGACATTTCTCAGTAATCTGGCTGGGCTCCTCTGTGAGCTGTAATTGGGCATTAGCAGCAAAGAGGATTAAATGGAAGTTCTCCCGATGACCATTTAACATCCCTGAGCTGTTAAAACCAGAAATTCTGTTTTCCACAACAACACTGAAACTCTAATAAAATTTAGAACACAAAATTCATTCAAATCCTAACAAAGTGCCTTAAACTCCAGAATTTGTATTTCTGCAGATTACTGAGAGGCCCTTAGAGTGTGTGCACATCACAGTGTTTACCAGACACTTGTTGTAAATTAATGCATTCTTTTAAATAACCTCAGGATTTTACCAAATCCTGGGGGTTTTTTTGTCCTCCTCAACATTTGCCATCTGTCATCTTCATTTAAAGACGCTTTATGCATTTTATTTTAAATCTCACAAGTTCACCACTTAAAGGCTGTTGGGAGACTGAGAAACGTTTATAATTTCCTTTCTGTAATTAATAGTAGTTTTAAAACTGTGTGATAACTATTAGTATCCTGTTTTAAAAAGGGGAAAACATGATTTTGCCCTTAGTGCCATATTTGAATTATGGTGGTTCCAGTCCCCCACAGTCACTCCCTTTGTTTTCTTGGCAGCCCAGGAGTTTTTCAGCATCTTTTTCCTTATACCTGTGAGAATTCAGTGTCTTCACAGGATACTGGCTTAGGCCGGGTTTGTATCCTGGCTCTGAGCAAGATCAGTAGTAACATTTAAAGAAAAACTTCTTTTTAAGTACATATAGAATTATTTTGTTATAGTAGCTTCGAGCTTGTGGAAGTCAGTACTTTTGAGAGGCTTCCTGAACCAGGCCATGCATCCACTTTCGTTTTTCCTGCTTTTTAGTAGACTGATTTTCCCTGGATCTTTTTTAACCCCTGCCTTTTAAAGCCAGTTTTACTTGTGTCTGACCTGAAAATGAGTGAATCCCAAACTGAACTAAGTGAAGCAGTGCTTTGGAACACATTCCAGCGGGTGCCTTCGCTTATGAAATCATAACGAAGCCATGAACAATTGTTCTCTGTTTCCCAGTTATTTGTAATAAACATTTACCATATCAACCATCAGCCATTTCTTTCCCAAACTGGAGGACCTGAGTATGTTTGGCCTCTCCTCGTAAGGAAGCCACCTCCTACCTCTTCCCTGGGATGTTCTTCTCTCTGCCTTTCTGGTGCTTTTGTGTCCTCTAAATAGAATCCGAGAATCCCAGAATGGTTTGGGTTGGAAGGAACCTTAAAGCTTCTCTTGTTCCAACCCCTGCCATGGGCAGGGTTGCCCTTGGGGTGCCCAGAACTGTCTGTTCCATGAATTTGTGCAGTGCCTAACGATTCCTGTCTTAATTTGGTTTCCTGACTTACTTCGTGTATCACTTCTATCTTTATCATCTAATATTTTCTCTGAAAGGTGGGTCCCCCACTCCTTTGTCTGCACAGTGAGGGAAATCAATCCTAAACCCACTTTGTAAATTCACTTTCTGCCCCCATAACCAACAGTCCCCTGCCCCGTAGCTCATTTCTCGACACACTCGTTTTACCCACCGATTTCCTACCTGTGCAATAACCCTGCTTCTCTCTCCTCCTTCCCACGTTCCCAGGATGACAGCACTAGCCATAGTGACCACCAAGACCCCATTTCCTTAGCTGTGGAGATGGCAGCAGTCAACCACACCATCCTGGCACTGGCCCGGCAAGGAGCCAACGAGATCAAGACAGAGGCTCTCGACGACGACTGATACAAAGAGAGGGGAGGGTCAAAGCAAGAAGTAACTTAGTTTTAGACGTAGCACCTTAGCAGACTTTCCTCGGTCCTTAATATGTGTTCTTACAGTATAACTTTGCAGTTTCTTGTACGTCAGTTTAGCTGTTAGGGTCTTGTTCTGTGAAGATGGCATGGTGCCCTCAGCCTTTGCATATACTCTCTCAGTATTAATTCCCAATAAATAATCAATCAACCAACCAACCTCCCCTCTCCCGGCCCCAAGTGGCTAGAAAAAAAAAAAAATCAAAAAAAAA